ATATATGAAATACTATCAAAGTTTGCATATGAACTTCTAGTACACGGATTAAACCGTATAAGTAATAATTTATAATTTTGAATTGGAAATGTGACATAAAGTAAAGTTTCTTCAACCTATTCATAGGCAAACAAGTAAGATATTTCTAGCTCCCACTATTGTCAGCAAAAGTTTCTAAGTCTACTGTCATTTCACGACAATAAGAAAAACTTGAAGAAACACTTGCACACAATAAATATCCGTCTAACAAACCAATGCTCTTTAATGCAACTTTGAGTCCCACTGAGATCTCTGTCCTGGGTATCTGTATAACCTTCTCACGCGTCTTACAGAATCATCGAGAAGGCGTGTCGCTCTTTTCCCTTACAACATCTGTCACGCCAGTTACTCCACACTCTTAAAAAAATAATCTCCAATGCTCTCTTATATGTATAAATCGCTAGCTCGATTCGCTTCTAAGGCTGTGATCACACGAGCGTCGAATCAACATCGAAATTCTATGTTAACAAACTCCGTCTTATGAATATTTGATGTGCACCTACTGATAATAATTTAGCTCTTTTCTGGTTAATTGTGTACTCATTTCTCCCAGAATAATTCGAGTATTAATATTATCAGAAATTTGCTACTAGTCTCTTATCTTTTTTAATTGAACGCATGAATTCAGATGAATCGTTTTGATAGATCTCGTAGTTTTAGCGTTAATCCTATACTTTCGAAACTCCAGTCTTTAAAATCTATGTAAACGAACGCTTATTTTTCCAGGAATAGTGCAATGAGGATTGCAAAGACCGTCCGCGAACGTAATATCAACTACGTCCCTCAATATCAGCGTTCGTCGTTTCGACCACAGCCTAAAACAACAGTGACCGAATTGGAAACGTGAAAACCGGCGTGGTTTTTCGGCCGAAAACGGCGCGAATCGTCGGCTCACAATGCGGTCGCGGCTGTGGAGAGCCGGCCTTAAGGTCCGCTCGTAGCATAGAGAAAGGGACACGCTCCGATTGGTACGATCGATGCATGAGAACGGCGCAGCGCAGCGGCGGCGACGTGTACGCTGCTCGCCGTGCCGGCGAACGAGCCCGTCTCGGTATCAAAGTTCATCACGAAATCGCGGGAGCATGGACGCCTCGAACCGCGCCGCCGTTACTTTTTCTCTCGCGGACTCACCCTCGGCGCGGGGACCGTCGACCGTCGGCGTTTCGTAACCGCAACGCCGCGGAAAACGCCGAACGGCCGGCCGTTTAATTGCCTCGCGTGTGGTAACGCGATGCGCGCCAGCATGAAAGTCCGCTCGCGAGAAAAACAGTTTTGCATTAATGGAATCGGCTGAACTGGGTCTTAATGAGTAACGCCGCTCTGCCTCTGCGCGACAACTCTGGAGTCAGGATGGCAGCGTTCAACGTTGAGCCGAGGCTCGATCACATCCACAGGTGAACAACTGGCGCGGATGGAGGAATGATCGTCTTACGATCGGGTTTGATCGATGCCGGGTATACGGAAGCGATCAAAGAAACTTTATCGGACGTTGGGTATTGGGTAGTGCGATCAGGTGGCGACAGCGGGACAACCGATAACCGTGGGAAGCGTTTCAGAGGCACAACTGTTCGGAAATGTCCCAAAATTGATTTGTTTTAGATACTTTTATAGAATGTTTCGTGGGGAATGGAATACTTTCGGAGGAACGTTTTGTTTGAAAATTTAAAAATATTACGAAGTTGACGTAGAAACTTGTAGGATTGATTAAATTACAGCTAGGTTACTTTTTTTTCTGCGGTGAGTGTGATCACTCGGGTCACGTTCGACTAATTCAATTCATATCTTGCACGTGGGTTCTGAATAAGATACTTATTCATGGAAATTATTTCTGTATTTCCATTTTTACGATATATCGAATGAAAGTGGATTCATTCTTCAAGAAAACATGACTTTCCTTTTGCAGACAATGCCCATTGCCTACAAATGAAAGAGCTTCAGAAACACACTTTCGAAAGAATATTGCTGTAAAGCTCAAATATTTTGTTTCAGTGCTCCAGAAACTTATATGAAAGTACCAAACAAACAATAAATTTTTTCATACAAAAATTATCGAGCTTAATGATCACACTTTCCATACCCAAACTTACAGCATTCAGGCTGCAAAAGAACTCAGGGAAATGTATCTACATTTTCCGTAGAATCGACTAACTACGCTGCCTCAAACATACCGACGACTAATAAGGCCAAAAACGACTAATGTCCTAGCAGATGGGACCCAAGGGTTCTAATACTAAACGGCCAATTAATAGATCGAGCAATTACCGCGGAACTGCGAGATCGTCAACGAAAGACACGGCTGCGCGATGGTATCGTCCGTCAAACAACGAAGCGGTCGTACGATATTGAATCGGCCCCCTCCCTCTTGGCCGTTGTCGATGATCTTGTTTCCGGGCATCGCGAATAATATATTCGACGTCTAGCGACATTGTACCCGTCGACGGGACAGGTAGGATTAATCGAATTGCGGGATCGATAAATTAATAATGATGATAAATGAGCACGGTTAATTGCGGTTCGCGTGCGAGCGTCTCGAATCAATCCGGCTACTGTTTCGAGGGTGAACGAGAAACGAAAAGAGCCGGTACCAGCAGCCGTATCGCTTTATATATTCGAAACCGGTCAGGGCTGGCGAGAAAAGACACGCGCGGGCGACTTTCGCGATAGATAGGCATTTTTTCGCGAACGCCAAATAATATAATGGCTTTCACTTCGTGCGAGTCGGAAAACTAGCCGGCCGTGATACGTGCCGAGGAATCGCGCCGAAATGAACGACTAATTAGTTTTTATTTAATTAGCCGGCTCCCGCGCGTAACCACATCGTGGATTAAGTCATCATCGGCCCGACGTTTTTCCCAGGGTCGTCGCGTCTCCCTTTATTTTCCTTTTCCTTCTTCCAGACGGTTGCGGCTATTCTTAGCATTGAATCGCGCCGCGATCCGAGATACACAATCGCCGAGCAAAAACCGACCATCGGGACCGTCCGTCGCGCTCGTCCGTTTATCAGACGATTTTTTCCCCAACGTACAACTGTTTCTGATCAACGGTTGCGCAATTATATTGATCACGTTGGGTTCGCGATCCGCGGAATAATGTTATCTCTGTAAATATATCTTAGAGCGGTCTGACGTGTAAGCTAGACGCAAAGTAGCTAGGCGTATCCTTTTTGTCCCGTTGAAAGTGAAAACACGCGATTGTCGGAAAGGTTTCATAAGAAAATATGTAATTATAAATTGCTTCTCATTGTTCGCTTATCGCGATCCAGTCAATTCTTCGATTCAATTTGATGGGTTCCTTAGAATGCCTTTAATCCTTTAAGACAGAGATATCTCTGAATTCATGCTATGATTCGTCGTCCTGATAGACGGGAGTCTCTAATCCCATAGTTTTAGCTCGTTGTCCAAAGGAATTGCCGGTACTCGAGGAATTCACTGCGGAATACTTAATTGCCACGTCGCTGGCCACACGCTTCGCCGTCTAATATATTGGAAATCCTGGATCTCCGGTTAACGCCGTTTAACAGGGCGATACGCCATTCCAGTAATTCAAAATTGTCAGCGGGGATTTAACCCTCTCGACGGTGGCGCGGTCTTATTTCCAGGTTTCAGCGTACAAAGCGGCGTGCCAGCTGGAATTAGTAGGTTGAGGTAATAAGTAACGAGCGACGGCGGCGGCGACGGCAGGCAATCTATTTAGAAAAGAATTCAGGTTTCTTAAGGCCATTCAACGACCCGTAATTCCAACTCTTTAGAACGTTTCGCGTTCGCCACTAACGTGAAACTCCTTTTCGATGCGAGGACCTCGTTTCCACGTAACGAGCGCGGGCCATAATCTGGACCGCGCGTGTCGCCATTCTCGGCTGCCGCGACTCTTCCCTTTTTCCTCCCGTCAAACAATAGAATTTTTCACGTAACGCTGCCCGAAGGAAATCCTTCGGGGTTGTAGTCGTGCTTTGGGTTTCTGTATGTACGTGTTGTGCCAAGTCTTTGCCTCGAATATTCAGTTGTATCAAACTGTATGCATTTCAGGAACGATGGCTGCTTTCAGCTGTTATAACAACTCTTATTCGATGAACTGTTCATTATGAAGAATACAAATTGATGATCATCTAACACAGAAAAGCAGGAAATTCTCAGTTACACGTGGTTATCATCTAACATTCTCTTTAAGTTCTTAAACTCGAAAACCACGATTAGAATGCCATCGATGAAATTTCATACTGAGTTCCTAGTGACCTCTAACATCCCAATAATATCTCAACTAATAACGTTAGAGCAGTATCAACATCCTTCATATAGGTCAAAGATCAAGCAGCAACCGCATAGAGGAACAAAGTCAAAGCCAATATTTCAGCTAATTCAAAGGTCTTTGCTCAATCTAGGAGCAGAAGTTTGCAGCCAATAATTTACGTCCTCCAAGTCCTTCGACCAAACCTTCACCGCACGCAACATCGGAACAACGATGCAATATTGTTCCATTGAATACAAGAAGCTGAGGGTAGCTTAACAAAGGGATACATCCAAGAACTTGCCTCGATATCGTACAATTCTGTTCGTTCTCGCACCGGACGAGAGAGTTAGATATCGTAGGTGACCAGGTAACCCGGGTGGTGCCTGGTTGCACTTGGTGTGGCCTGCCGTACGGATGCCAAGCGTGTAGGGCAGGGATGGTGGGGCGGGTGGAGTAGGAGGTTGTTCTCTCGGGCCGTTAGACGTTGGACGAAGCCGTGGAATACCGGCGAACAACCTACAACGGCAACCTCTATCGTGCTACGTAAAAGGGGGAACCCCCCTTTGGCCCCAAAGCAGCTGGTGGGACTACGTTCGTCTATGCTAGGCCGCTGGTACGACGTGGATTATAGTTTTTCTGGGGGGAGGGTGGTGGAGCGCCTTGCTTTCGAAAGGATGGTGATTGTGGAGCGTAGCCAGAGTAGAGTTAGGCGTATATAAGGCCCGCCGGCCCGGCCCAAGTCAGTCATTCACCGGACTACCAGCCCACCACATACACACCAAACATGAAGGCCTTTGTGAGTATCTACCACGGGGTTGGTGCATTCACGGGGTGTTCGAAGTCGGTCCGAATTTATTCTCTCGCGTCTCAACGCGCTAGTTTTTGAGTTCATTCGCATTGTGCTCGGGTTCTTTCGATCAACAGTCTTGGAACAATCGAGTTCGCGATACGAGACACAGTGTTTCGAACGCTTTTCGTCCTCGGTCGATTCCGTTGAAATTAATAATTTCTCATCAACTCGATTTCCGTTCGCAACTTTCAATTTTCCACTCGGGTCCGAACGATTTCCACCGCGAAATACGATCAACCGTCTTAGGACCCATGAGAAGTGTATCTCTTTCGTCCTGAGGCTCGGTTAGCAACGCGCAACAACGGGTAAACCGCGAATTGAGGAAATAAATCGGTTGAATCGGAATCTCTGATTACCTCCGCGAGCTAAAGTTACAGATGGAAAGTGGTTGTACAACGCTTCGCTTTCGTTCATCTACGGGACACCGCGCTGTGGCCTACCGAGTACTTCAATGTCACGGCTCAAGTGTTCTCGTCCTTTTTGCGCCGGGCGAACGAACAAACGGGCTTGCCCTTCTTGCCGCGGTTCCATTCATGCAGCAAGAGAGGTCTCGTTGCACGGTACACTGACCGCCTCACAAAACCGGTTGCAGTAGTATCATCGTCATTCAGCAACGAGACCGACCGGAGACCGGTTCTATCCCTGGTACATCTTCATTCACGTGAACACCGTTTACCGTTCTAAAATCAATATTTTTCTCGCGGCTACCGGTCCGATAGCTTTTCCTCTCAATCGTCTAGCTCGTTTCCTTTTAACCTGAAAGTAAGACTTGAATTAGTTCGAACCAATTTTGGTCTCTTCGAAATCAAACAACTACACCGAGCGCTCCGGAAAATCTGTTCTTCGCCGCGAGTCGATGTAGCAATTTCGAAACGCCGGTTTTCCGATCGCGAGAACGCTCGGTCGGCCACGTCACACGCGCAACCGGGATGTGAAAGTTCCGCCGCGCTGCTGGATATGCATAATACCCAGGCGGGAACGTTTAAGTGCAACTTGAGCCCCGAGCTGGGCGTGACACGCGTCCAACGTTCAATCTTCCGCCGATTACGCGACTCGCGGTAACACCGTTCGCGTTCCACTACGATCGAATCGATTGCAAGAATTTCCTCCGGCGCAATTAGTTCGCGGTTCAACGTCTCTCAACTCGTTCCTTCCTGCTCGCAGGAAGAACCGAGAATCGAATCGGTCTAAATTGTTCTCAGCCAAGACTTCTTGCAAAGGGAATTACAGAAAGAAATACGATTTTCCAGCGATTCGATCGAACTCCGTGGGTCCGGTTTACGATTCATCCGGTCGTTCTCGAGCGGATATTACTAATCGTCGATCAATTATGAATACTACAATATCAGGTCGCAAGGATTACGTTAATCTCCGAGCTGTAAGTGCGCGAACGATTGCATAAAACGCGACCAATCGTTTTCCGCGCTTGCGGGGCAGCCTATTAGCGGGAACGCGCCTACAGAATTTCTTCCCCTAATATGGTCGTTAGGCGTGGTAAACGGGCTGATTGATCGCGGACGGGAATGGGAGGGAGATAGTTAAAGACTCGCGAAAGTGTAATCGGTCCGCGGTCGTTTCGATTGCGAAAGTCCAAGTTTTCTCCCATCGAAGTCGCCTGTTCGTTCTCTGACGAAATCACGAAATCACGGACTTCTCGGGGGTCGAAGGGAAAACGGGATCGGGATACGTTTTACTCAAGTATCGGGAATCATTTCCCGATGCTGTGCGAAACGGCTGGCTGGCTAGCTAGCCGGTATCGAAAGTGAAAGGTGCGGTTATGTTACAACGGGGCGCGTGGCAATCGGTGCCAAGCCAATACAAGACTGAATCCGCGCGGTGATAGTCGTTGCCTCGCTTCCGTAAACTGAGCCGGATAGTTCGTCTTCGTTCACCATTCATATTTTTCTAACCGATGATTTCACTGTTCATATCCTGGTAGACTTTACGTGAGACTATCGGAACTCGTGCGCTCGATCAACGAAACCGATTTCCCATCAGGCATTACGAGCAGACTATAACGAGAACGTTACCTGTTCCATTCCCAGATTGTGTTCGCCTGCTTGGCCGTGGCGACGGTCCGCGCCGGAATCGCACATGGACCTGGCATTGCTCTTGCCGGAGGTCATGGCGGTATCGGCGGTATCGGCGGTATCAGCGGCATTGGATTGGGCATCGGTGGCGGTGCTAGTCTTACCGGTGGTCTCTCGGCGGGAGCGAGTAGCGCGTCGTCCCTGCAAGGTGGTGCGTCCTCCTTGGGATCCGGCGGTCTTGGTGCCAGCTACGCCGCTGGTGCTGCGTCGGCGGCTGGAGCTGCTGGTGTTCAACAGATCGTCTCTGGTGGTGCGTAACCATAATGGACAGCTAAAGTATCAAGGATTCACACGTACCTGAGACATAGGGCCGTTCGCTCAAACTGGGACTCGTTTGTTCTCGTGCAGGAGTGATTGGAGGCAGGGCTGACATTGGACCCGCTGAAGGACCCAAGGCTAACGTTGGACCTCAGACTGGACCTTCTGACCTCGTTGGACCCCAAGAAGGCGCCAAGAACGTAGGTGGACCTCGTACCGGACCTGCTGGTCTCGTTGGACCCGCCACTGGACCATTCACCAGTGTAGGTGCCTCTGCTGGAACCTCCACCCTTGTTGGACCATCCCAAGGACGTGCCAACCTCGTAGGACCCTCCTCTGGTGGAGTTGCCCTCTACGCTGGTAGTGGAAACATCAACGGTGATGATGGAAGCTCTGGCTCTGCTGCCGCTGCTGCGCCCGCTGGTCTTGGTGCTGCCGGTCTCGGTCTCGCTGGTGCTGGTCTGTATTCCAAACGAACATTATTACACCACGATTATTCAATTTGATAGCACTATACAGAAAATACTCATTCAATCGTTCGCTTTGCAACTCACAGGTGCCATCGCTGTAGTGGGTGGTGGTGCTGGCATCGCTGGTGGACTCGGCGGACACGACGGTGGTGTTGCTGTGATCAACGGACCGTCTGGCGCCATCCATGCCGGACTCGGCTCCCACGGAGCTATCATCCCCGGGGTACTCGGCAAGTACTAGACGTTCTAAGGCCCCAGCGATCTCGGCTCGGCGACGGCGGCATTCCCACCACAGTCACTTACCGGTCTCAAACGATCTTCAAACGCGCTCAACGTCTTCTTCCAAAGCTTCGTCCAACCTGGGAACATGGTCAAAAGCGCCGGAGTTTAGAGTGGTGTAGTCGGTATATAGTCGGAATATTAATCGCAGTCCTGTCGGTATATATCGAGCCACGGTGTACAGCGCGAACGAACAAAGCCCGAAAGCCCGATCGGTCGTCACCTGTCCGCGATTACCCGTGATCAGATCGTCGAAGTATGTAGACCAACCGCGGTCCGGCCATTCGTGATCCGTGGAATCGATTCGACCGTACTCGTCGTCGGCGACGTGCCCTTAACCGGGCGCGCGGTCGAGCGTTTTTAGTCAATTTCATTTTCGTCAACTTTGCATGCGACAAGTGTAGGCGGATCGATGCTGCGATTTGCCAGTCGCGGTTTCGCTACTTCGCCGCGACACACACCGAACATCCGTGAAATGTCGCCGATCCGCGGAACATTCGCGGGAACGCGTCGGCCGATCGACAAGCTTTCGATCATACGAGTCGATCATTTCCGCCGCGCTAAACCTCGAATCAACGCTAACACGTCGGACCCGGCCGCCCATCGGCCGTGGACCCGGCATGTGGACAAGCTTTGGCGCTTCGTCGTTGGACCAACTGGGCCTTGTTCTGTTTTCTGAACACCCACCGTTGCTCCGGCAGTACACTCTCTATTTTTTTTCTCTTGCGTCTTCGACCATCCGTAAGGCGACCGCTCTTCACACATATTTACTACTCTCTCTTTTTTTTATTTCTCCTTCTCTGATGAGTCATTCGGTCGATCCCCACGGATCGTTCCAAACGGCTCACAAGTTGTTATCCTCACTGCCGCACTCAAGCATACATATTATTATTACATTACTCGTCCCATGCGCATATATGTTTTCTCTTTATATATATATATACATGTATACATACTATTACTACTATTCCTTCGCGTATATATATATATGAACACATTGCCACACGCGCGCACACACACTATTGTTATATGTGTACTCGTATATATACACACAATTACACATATATTATATAATCGTGTTATATGTTAGTGAAAGAGAGAGACCGGTAGATTATGGTAGGTCAGCCCTTTCCGTGAGTGAATGAATGTAAATAGATGGCGCGCCGCTGCCGGCCCCCGACCCCGCCCGCCCTCGTCATACCCTTTCTTTGCGATCACGACTAGCACCCCACCACCACCATAGTTAGATACCACATATTTATAGCGTTTATACATTTATACAATACTTTATATAAAATAAAGCATCAGTATTTAAAACTCACCTCTCGATCATTTCACTGACCCAATCAACACCTTCAGCCTTTGACCTCTTGCCTTGCGATCTCTTCTGCGACTGGCTTCACAGGAATTACTTTATTGTTAACAATTTACTGTAACACCGAACATTTACTCCCTTACATTTACTCCCCACAGTGAGTAATGATAATAGAAAAATAACGTTACATTTAGAAAATTAATAATGTTCGATTGACTCCTACTACGTGACAAATGGTTAAAACGTTTCCGAGTAATCAAATTGTACGAAGTTTGATTGAAGTGATTTGTACAATCTTGAATACGATTGATCAAGACAATCATCTTTTCTGAATTCGAAAACGGTTTGATTGTTTCGCTAAAATGGCACAGAATTGAGAATGTGAGGAAGCGATTCAAGTAAAGCACTCGATTCTAATGATTCGCGAAGATTAGTGAATTCCGAAGAATACCTGGCTACCGAGTCAATCTCGGGAGCCATCGGCGCGTTCCGAAAGTTCGCTTGTCTTCGTGAATTATCGAGCAGCTTCTGCGACGTAATGTCGCCTAGGGGATTATTCGAGGCGATCCTTTTATGGGGCGATGAGCTGCGCGGACGAGAACCAGGGATTCATTCAAACAGATTGAACAAAAGGCAACGAGGGACGCGAAAGCTGGAGTTTAGATACCTTAATCGCTGTCGAGAAACTGCCATGAAATGAGGTGAGATTATTAATAATTCATAGAATATTACTTGGAATTAACAGAATGCTTTGTGGTTTTCATGTCTCTAAATTCTAACTTCTGATAAATTAAATGTTTCTAATACGAGGAATTCTACTAACGTTTGAATGATTTCCTTTATAGTTTAGAAATTAGAGTTTCATAGTCTACGGTAATAATGAATTGAATAGTTCCTTTGGGAAACTTTAACATTCTAGTGGTTTAATAAAATTACTCTACACTTATTCGTAATTAAGCACCCGTATTTCACTTTCCGATACATTAAACTCGCGCGAGTAACTTCTACAACCAGAAGTCGATAAACTTCCATCAAAAGCAGATACTTGGAACGAATGGTGCTCCACAATTTCGTCGGAACGTGCGTGATCGGAACAACTCTCCCCTAGGCAAATTTCCTTCAATTTCAAACTATTTTATTCGTTTGTTCGTTTAAGGCTGGAACATCCGGTGAAACATTTTGCTTTAAATCGACCGCCTGTTGCTATAGTTCGTTGCACGCGTCTGGTTTGCTAATGACAGATTTGTCAAGAGTCGTCGGCTCGTTAGAAAGTTCGACGTCCGAATCGAAATTGCTCGTCTGTGCGCTAATGACGCTGCGAGTCGCGTGTCTCCGGCCGTAAGTGAAATCTTCACCTTCTGTTTATGGTTGCATTTGCATAATGCCAGGGTTTCGAATGTTTCCTAGAGTTTCACGTAATTAGGCGACAATTTCACTGAACTGCATTATGTTGTTATATAACTTCCACAAAACGAAACAATAATTTATCCACGTTTCAGCAGCCATCGGCTTCGGCAGCTTGCATCCTAAATTGACTTGAGGGGTTACAGATACTTAGGTGAGTCGAAAAGCAATTAGTGTACGAAATTCGGTGGAACGAACTTCGAGAACGAAGAGACCATATTATGGATTCGTAGTTCAGGTATAAGAGAATATACATTTTGCAGAGTAACAATGTAGACTTGATTAAGAAATGTAACGATTGATGGATCTGAGAGTTTTGTAAACATTTGGAAATTTGTCACTTGCTGATAGTGAAAAATATGTTGAAATAATTCTTTAGTCAAATATAATACGGACTTCTGGCGCAGCAGAAATATTAAAACAAAATTATTTATGATATCATTTCAATTTGAATATCATTTTTTTTGCACTGGACAAGTTCTTCTAATTTAATAATTTATTTACAACATTTTTTGATTTTAAAAACTTTATTTTTTAAAATAAACTAAATATAAATTAAATATAATAAAAAATTGATTATCAATAATATTTTTGTAAGGTAACCTACACGATATCAGACAATCAAAAATTTTAACGAATACAATTTTATTTCACTAGAAAATATAATATATTATTTGCAGAAAAAATATGTATACGTGTATTATTCTAAAAGCACGCACTACTCTAAAAATAATATTTTACAATAAAAACCACCGCAATGTCAGAAACGCGGAGATTATAACGGACAAATTTTTATTCTGCAACATGCACCATTATTTCTATGTACCAGAAAAAAGGAAAAACCACGTGGTGTTTTTCATACAAAAAATATACGTATTGTTAAGACTACGTACAATTAAGAAATAACCCTCATCGTCCCGTTTGCATAGTCAAGGAACATTTAGTTTTTACAACAATAGAGAAAAAGGCCCGGACACATTAAATAAAACCCTAACCATTCGAGACACCCTACAAGGCGTGACCACAAGACAACAGATTCAACCCCCAACAACTTCATTGGACGAAAATATTTCCCACTTTTAACATACACATGAAACAGTACACTCCCTCATCTCCACAATTAGTATAAGACACGCTCGATTGTACAAATCAGCCAGAGTTCATCAAGACAGCAACATCATAGTATTAAGACAAGTATTATCAACAACAAAATAAAGGGACACACAGTCCGATAAATCAAGCCAAGCCTTGTTAATTATTTAAAACTTATTCAGTACGCCAGTGCAACCAAGTTACAATAAATATCTGGTCTTACAAACCAGATACATCAAATTAACAACTTCTTTGGTCCATTGACCAACATTAACATTAACACGTATCTATACTGTTTTATATTTCAATTTTCTAATAGCATAAAATCTTACAAAAACAACATTACGAATAACGTTGGAAGTCAAATTTCATTCTGCAGCAACATGTATCAGTATTTATATCCTCTGGAATATATTCTAAGAAATATATATATATAAGAAATACTATTATACTATTATACAAATATAATTAAATACATTTCTACACTAATTTATATTTTGCTGCTACAGGTACATGCAATCTTCTGAGACGTCTCAAGTAAAGTGCTTGATCGTTCTGTGGGATCCACGAACCGTCAAATCCATCTTTCACGACAGAGGTAACCATACACCACAGTGACCGTTTTCCTTCTCTTCGCGATACATTCGGCAAGCGTTAATTAGCTCACTGATGATTACAGAGGATACCGGCGAACGCTTCTGTAAGCTGCGGATACATCCATGCTGCGAAACTGTCAGCGGAAAGGATAAGCAACGCTTTGTGGAACAATACCCAGGCAGCTGTACACTGCTTTTAATTGAGCATGCTTTCCGAGCTTCACGAAATGGACCTGAAACTCGCTGAACAAGCTTCAGGTATTGAGCTAAATGACCCCACATAAAGGCCGTCTATACACTTTGATCTTGAAACTAATGAAAATGCTAGTCCAGCCTGTGATCGGATATACTTCAGTCCGTGTTGAATATTGATATTGTCAAAGAGATTTGCGGTATTAAAGTAATTTCATTTCTGGCGACAGTGTAAAATGGCGTGCAAATGGGATGATTGATCCTCTCGCTAACTCTCATGGAAGCACGACTATTGGAAAGTTTCAAAAGGTCAATAGAAATTGCAAACTTCGTACGAAAACGTCTTGGATGGGACGATTAAGGAAACTACTCCCATATCTGTTAATGATATCTTCATATTTTTCAAAGCCTGAGGAAAACCTTGTATAAAAGGTAATGAACGTGGTTAAGAAAAATAAATTTAATTTATAACTTTGAATACGATCAGTATTGACTGTTTCGCCCTGAACAACACCTGTTCAAAACTAATGAACCTTATAAATAGGTTAACGTTATGGAACAATGATGAATATTCATCGATCCATTGATATATGTGTATGCACTATGAAACAATCAATATTCACTTTATCCGTGTCCACCATAGAGGTACTAATATTGTCCTCATAACGTTCGTAATAAATTCATCTTCGTTTCACCACCAAAAGTCACGATCTGTACAACCTATTATATTTCGAATAAACAACGAAAGATTTATCTTCGATAATACAGAAGTAGCGAACAACGTAGGGACAGAAAACACGATAAATATAACAGAACACAGATCCAAAATCTTCATTGAAGATCGTAGCAGGTCGTAGGTATTGCCGATTTTGATCGTTCGCGGGCATTAAAGTGGATCGGTCAATGCTGATCCATCATATTCGACTTCGAAAAGGTAGGATCCGAACTCTCTTGGCTCGGCTGGCCACAAATACGACTCAATCTCCGCTGAAGGGGTTTTAAATCTGTTCCATGGCAGCGGATTCCGCTCGAAACTCGACGGGACGAGACATTCCCAGTCCTGCAGCTGACCGCGAATAAAATAACACCTATTGAATGCGTGCTAACTCATGGCGCCCTACGGAACCGCCTTGTGAATGACCGAGCGAATCGACGATACGAACGAAGATTGACAGTGGCCGAGCGCCGCAGCGTTTCCCATTCGTTTTGTTTCTATCGGAAGTATTCGCTCATCGATTCCCTATAACAGTCCAGTACACTGGAACGGACACGCAGCGACGATAAAAATGCTATTCCGTCTCTTGGCTTGTCCTTGTTCCCCCCCGAAAAGCCGCGGCCAATTATCGCATTTCGAAGGATCGTCAAGGGAGAAACCAAGTCGGGCTTATTCCGGTACTTTCTAGCCACGATTAAAGCAAAATGCCATTTTTAAATCGAGGGGTTTCGGTTGAAAGCCTTGCCTGATGCTTTTAACGCGTACGAACGAGTATCAACGGCTTTTCCCCGTCGTTCTCTTCACCGCGAGATCGACCGGTCCAACTCTGTAGCCGGATTATCCCTCAAAGCAGTCATTTAGATGGATTTTAAACAATGTCTCCTTAGCGCACCACGTTTCTGAGTAATTTTCGGGGAGCTAATTCAGTTGCGAAATACTTCGATAGCGGAGAGTTTCTTCAACTGCGGACACATTTCGAACTATAATTGTCTTTTCTAGGATTAAGA